ATCACTAACAGAAAATTTTTCAAAGTTCATCTCATCATAAACATCCCAGACTTTATTGCTAGAAATAGATATGTCTCTGACATCTCTCTCAGGTTCATATAGCTCCCGAACACCAATGGTTCTGATGGAAGAACTTTTGTTATCGTCAACCAATTCATCAGCACCTTTTACCTGATAACTGTCTATGGTAATGTCTTTCACTTCTCCAACCTGCTCAGGTTTACCAAAGATCGGAAAGCATGTTGGCGCTGAAACAGAATTAACATTTACATCTATATGATGAGCAACTTGAACTTGTTCTCCAGCTATCAACACATCCGTTTGATCCTTTCCTTCTAGCTGACTAACAGTTGATATCTCTGGGGAGTTTCTTTCACTTTCGGGATTTTGTTTTTCACGCTCCTGGACCTTATCCAATATCAGAGGCATCAGGGGACCAGCTCCACTTTCCAACTCAAAATCATTCCAATCCTCCGAACCAAAAGCTACAGATGAATTTATAAGGAAGGGGTTTTCATGGCTGGCATTCGCATCTTGTGGATACGGTACCTTCTTTGGATAGTACAAATTATGTTCACCCTCATCATCTACACCATACATTGAACCGTCGTCATCAGAATATTCATGCACCGACAAGTTCTCATCTTCCTCTGTCCCCAATTCTACTCCACCAAACCCCACCTCCAATTCTGCGGTCGATCCAAGTATATTTCCCCCTCTCTCTTCGACAAACAACTTGGGCACAGAACCTCCTCCATCTACGTCACAGCCCATCAAATTCCCCTCATAACTTCCATCGTAGCCTACACCTTGAGCACCTGTACTCTCCGTATTTTGATGAAACATGTCAGCACTCAACTCACAACTAATCCCCTCATCACCGTTATCATCCTTTAAAAACTCGACTCTTCGATTCCCTAACCAATCTTTTCTCGCAGAGGAAAGGTTGAGGTTCGGCTCAAAACTAAAATTCTCCAATCCATTATCATCTCCAAACCCCAAATCACTCTTCATAGATCCAAAAAACTCCGATGCCATGCAATCAGTAAATGCCCCAACTGAGCTGCACAAACTTCGTGTTTCCATTACGGAGTTTGCACTGCAATACCGCTCGAATTCGGATTCTCCGCACGAGGAATACTGCGATGATTGTGCAGGCGAGCTCCCGCCATCGTCTGATTTCGGCGACGAGAGATCAAACGGATCAGGAGAGGCGACTGCTGAGGTATTATCGCAAGTCTCCTCGACATTGATCATTTGAAACGAAACAAAATCAAATTATTGATTGAAAATACTGACCCGAAACGGAAACGGATTGGAGCGCGATTCACTAGACAATAAGAGTAAGGGGTGAGAGAAATCAGAAGGAGAAGTTAGAGCTGAGCGCGAGAAAGAGAGACGATCTCTTTCGAGCGTGAAAGTTTATGGTAATCGTTTTGTTTGTTTTCTGTTTGGTTCCAGGATTCTGTTTCTTGAACGATCAAGACTCGTTTAATCACTTTTTCTGGTTTTTATACTTTTTTTTAAGATAAAATTTTAATCATAATTAATGCATAATAATACCAGTAACTAAACGGAAATTACAGTAATTGTGAATGATAAAATTATTTTATGTTTACACATTATTGTATATTTAATGACATATTTTTATTTGAATGATACGACGGTATGATTATATTTTCAGTTAAGTTACAAATTTACTCTTACTTATTTATATAATAATAATTAGTA